GATGGAGAGGAATCCTACGGGACCTTGAGCTGAGGTTCTGCAGGAGGTCGTCAGCGTGGATCCTCCACTTTTACTACCACAGTGTGTCTTGGACTTAAGGGAGGGTCCTGCTTTCTCCGTCCCCCCGTCCCAGGTGTCACAGCGGCTCTGTGACAGATCTCGATGTCCCCTCAGGCACGGGAAGCTGGGTGACAAATTGGACAGCCGGGGGTGGGTGGGGAAGGCTGTGTGTGGGGGGTGGGGGCCCCGATTGGTGACACTGTGCCTCTCCTGCTCACGGCACACTGAAGCGCTGTGTGGTCCTTCTGTTCAGTGTAACGGGAACGTGAACTGAAAGTAATTCTCTGTACTTCTGAGTGGGCTTTCAGTGAGCACACTAAGTTAGTGTTTCAGTCAGAATCCAGGTGTACGGGGGCCACGCCAGCTCCTAAGCCCCCGCCCCCTGTTGTCTGCATGCGTGACCAGGGTTATAGCAGAGCAGAAACCTGCGTCCTGCTGATCGGGAGCAATCTGCAATTACATAGACGCTGTGATCTATCTCCCTTCCTTTTTTCTGTCGCTCCTTAAGTGCCCTCTGGAAAAAGTCATCCCTGAGTAATGCGCTTTAATTGTTGGAATTAATGAATCGATTTTGCGAAATCCCATAAAACTGGCCTACTGACAGGAGTAAGGTGAGTGTAACATAACGCAGACAGCATGTCTGCCTTTTTGGGGGCTTTTGCAATCTAGTTTAACTCTTTCAGGTCTGTGCTTAGATTGTAGAAGTAGTTTAGATAGACCGTAGCCATGGGAAGGAGCACTCACTAGCGCCCCCTGTTGGCATGCGGTGGTTTCCTGTTTCCCCCCCACCCCTCTAGCTGGCTCCTTTAGGCCTGAGTCAGTCCTCTGCTGCCTCCTGCTGCTGCTCCTCCGTCTCTGCACCCTTTCATTTCCGCGTTCTCTGCTCACAGATCACCTCCTGTTTTACAGATCCGTGTCACACATGCACAAATGCATGTAACTATACAGCTCAATAATTTTTGTTAAATGGTTTTATTAGGAAGTTTTAATGAACTATTGATTTGGCTTTCAAAAAGTATGCGTTTGCATTATGTCAAGGATATGTAGTCATCAGAATTTAATTGAAATCTTTTAAATGCTAGGATTGCTAGGCATTATGATTTATAATTGTTTCCATTTATGGTTTGACCTAAGAGTTACATCAATCTCTCAGGTACTAGAAGGTCCCAGCGACCCTAGAACAGGGGTCTCCAACTCCTGTCCTGGAGAACTACTATCCAGTAGGTTTTCTATCTTAGCTGGCTTCTGATGAGTTACACCTGCTCCTGGTACTTACCTGAGGACAGGTGTGGCCCGTCCGAAGTCAGGTAGGATAGAAAACCAGCTAGATGGTAGCTGCCCTCAAGCCAACCACAGGAAGCACAATCCGCGAGGCAGCAGATCATCTGGAAAGGGATGCCAGTCCAAATTAGCTCCGTGTTAAAATGACAACCAACTGCAGCTGGCGAATCAGCTGTATTGCAGTGAATGTCTGTCTCTCTGATTGCTGCCTAACTGTAAGCCTGTGTTCCCATTTTCAGTTCCCCCAGTGAATAAGAGCACAGATTATAAGAACTACTTCCAGGGCAAGTGGGACTGCTCTGCGGACCATCCAGACGAGCTCTCCTTCAAGCGCGGCGACGCAATCTATATCCTGAGCAAGGTAAAGCAAAGCAGCCCTTCCTTTGCTCCGCGGCCGGGCAGGAACACAGCAGTGGGATTATTGCGGGCAGCTTTTAATATCCTGCAAACTTTTATATGCCCTATAAAAGTGAGCCTGGAAGGCTGGCCAGCTCCGTGGCTTGGAGCAGGGATTACATTCGGCTTTCCGACGGCCTTCGTGAGAAGAGCAGTGCTTCAGCGTGAACCCCAGCCGGCCCCCCCTCCCCCACATCTTTCTCCAGCCCCGCCTTTTGTCCTACGTGCTTTTCTGCGCTGAGACAGCATGACATCGGGGGGGTCTGTCCAGGCGGTGATGGGCGTTTGATCGTAACGCACAGCCACACGTACATGACTCGGGGACTGGGAGGCGCGCCGGTATGTAACTGGGTCTCAGCCATCTCCGAACCGGATTTGTGTTCTGTGACTGGAGGGGCGTGAGCCGTGTCTCTGCTAAGCGCTGGTACCGTGTAGCCCGAGTGCCTCAGACTGTTACCGATGGCAACACCGATGTGCAAGATGATTTCCTACAAATGAGTTCTCCCCAAACGAGCTTGATGGGCCGAATGGCCCCCTCTCGTTTGTAAATTTATGTTCTTATGTAAAAAAAAATAATGGAATGTTAAAATAGTGATGTGGGGATGGGGGGGTGGGGCGTGTACCCCTCAATATTTAATTTGGCTTTATCCATCACTCTTAAAATAACTTTATATTATAAATATTAAGTTGTGCCCTTTCCATATCAAACTGTCTCCTACGCTTGTGGATGTAATTAGAAGGAATTTCTTAATTTCATTTTAATTAGCAGACACATTTATCCAAAGCAGCGTGAAAGAAGGGGAGTGATTTGGCTTACAGACCTTCCTCATCTGTGAAATCACTCTAGCACTGATGGGATTCTAACCAACAACCTTGGTTGCATGGTCATGGGCTCCCAGTCCTGCAGAGCTGCTCACTGCGCCCTTATTGGCTCGCACAAGTTTCTGTGTTTATGGTGACCCTGAGGCTGCCTCGTGCCGTCGCTCTGACAAGGCCGCCGGCTCTGGGCCGCCCAGCGGGCCGGACGCTGCCGTTCCTGGTGTAGCCCCGGTGCTGTCAGCGGGAGGCACATTGTCGTGCTGCTCCGGGGCATAAAACGACAGCGCCGTAGTAATCGTCGCCCGTTTTCGCTCGCATCAGGTTTCCTCACGCCCCCACGGCGCCCCCTGCAGCACATCAGGCAGCTCGGTTCGATTCGTTCCGGCTCGGTGCCGCCCGGGCCGCCGGCCGGCCCGTTTTAGCCCCGCACTAAACGTTAACGATTCGAGTTATCGCTCCGGCCGCGCTCCCCACCAGCAGCTGTGGCTGCATGCCGTTTTACGAGCGGCCCGGCCGGCTCCGCCCCCGGCTCTCATTTCTGTCCTGCTCTGTTGCTTCCCGGCAACCGCAGACGGACGAGCGCATGTGGCCGGGGGGTGGGCCGGTGGCGCAGGAACGGCTGGAGGCATCTCCCCCGTAACCCCATCTGTCTCATTAGCGCCACACCTCATCAAACCCCCCCCACCCCCACCACTTAGGCCCAGATAACGACGTGTAGCCAGTCAACAGGAAGCCATCAGCTGTTCTGGCCTCCTCCAGCTCCTTTTCTTCCTGACTTTCAGAGGCTCCGTTCCTCAGAAGACAGGCGCGGGAATTTAGCGGTGCGGTTGCGCGCGCGGTCGTTTATAATCGCTCGTTCTTCAGAAGTGCGTATTTCAGCCAGAGCACATGTGTGCTGTCGTAGAGGCCCAGAGCTGGCCGCTGTGTGTCATTCTGAAGCCTTTCTGTTTTCCCGTCTCCTGCACTGAAATATATCATCTTTAGTTTTTATTTGCAGTTCCCACATATATAAATACCCCGAATATTGCTCCCTGTGCCATAAATATCGTAAATAAGCTCTCCCATTAGGATTAAGCCTTTCAAAACCGTAATGGAGAATGGTGATAAAACTGCATTTCGGCTCGGATTCCATGCAGCCGCACTCGGGTTAAGGTTTTATTTATGCACTGTAAATTTCATGCACAAAAACCGCTGAGTTATAGACGCTGACCGTTTGACTAGACGCTAATGTCCTGCTTCTCTGCGTTTGGCTGCTCTCAGCCATCAGCCCCCACCGCTAACTTCCTCTGCAGCCCCCCCCCCCCCCCCCCCCCCCCCCCCCCCCCCCCCCCCCCCCACCCCCCCCCCCCCCCCCCCCCCCCCCCCCGTGTCTCTGTTTTTGTCCATCATGTGTCTGTCCGGTCAGGGTCACTGGGCGACACTGCCCAGTGTGTCAGGCAGGTGTCGGTGTCACTGACCTCCTGCCAGTGTACGGAGACGTGCTGCTCCTCATCCAGCAGGAGGAGAAGATGGCTGCAGGCTTTTATAGCATGTGGGGGGTGGGGTGCGAGGAGGGCAGGCCAGCGACAGGGCGGAGGGGGGGGGTTTATTTGGCCCACCGCTCCGACAGGCCTGTTTTTATCTCTCAGGCGCAGAGGTGCTAGTTCACAGCTGTTTAAAGCGGAGACTTTATAGTGTTCGGTTTTATTGTCGAGCTCTTCGCGGGGCGAGCGGCACAAAGGCTCCGGCGATGCCTTCAGCTGCTCAAATAAAAGGGGGGGAGGGCGAGGGGAGGGGGGGCCTGCAGTAATAAAAGCAGATCAAAGCGAACTGGAGTCGGGGCCCTATAGCATTAGTGGTGGCCCTTGTCCGGAACCAGCACCGAAGCGGCCGGTGTTTAGCCCGGCCTGCCTCTCTTTGACGGGTCGTCAAGCCTGTGCTGCTGTTGCTATGTTTGAACCCGTGATGCACTTCACGCTTCTCTCCTGCAGGGGGAGCTCATTCTCATTCGCGTCTCTGCTAGCCAGTGCCGCAGTGTCAGCAGAGGGGCACTGGCGAGACTGTTGGCTGTATCACCTGCTTGGGGGGCGCTTCACCACGCCCTGGACTGCAGTACACTGCACTTGCGTGCCGATAGTCAGGGATGCTGGGGGTGGAATGCTTGTTAGCGCTTTAGTGAGGTTCTGACTCCTCAGTTGACTTTAAGTTTTAAAAAACAAACTGGAGTCTGGAAATCGGCAGGAACTCGAGAGACGCAGATTTCCTGCTGAGCCAGCCGGTGCCGGCGCCGCCGTGGCCCAATCTGCTGGACGTCGACCCGGTTCTTCCCCGGTATCCCCACTGCCATCCCTTCGCTGGCGCTTCTTGTCAGAGTTCCCACTGGACTGGATGAGCATACGATGGATTTACCGGAGGTCCCCAGTGTGGTGGGAGGCGGGTGTTAGATCTGCTCCTCATTAGAGCAGGAATGAACGTAGAGCACGATCATCTGGTCTTCATCAGCTGCAGCACTGCGCAGTGGGGAAGCGGGTGGTTTAGCGTGCCTAGGACTCGTACAGGGGGGCGGGGCGGGGGGGGCTGTAGCTAAACACTGATATCTCTATTGCTCGAGAGCTCATTTATATAAAAAAAAAATAAAAAATTGATAGGTTTCAAGATACTGTTTTCGTGATTGTGTGACGCTTTCCCCCAAAATGTGATTTGGGGAGGGGGGGGGGGCGTCTCCCAGGATGTCATGGTGCTCAGACCTCCTCCCCCCCTTCCCCCATTAGGAGTATGAGAACTTCGGCTGGTGGGTCGGCGAGCTGAAGGGCTCCATCGGCATCGTGCCCAAAGATTACCTCATGGAGCTGTACGCTATATGAGGCACTGAGGTAAGTGTGCATCAGTGTGGCGCCTGCTGTGCCCCCCAGGCAGGTGGAGGTGCCGAAAATAACACCCCTGTCTGCCCCACTTCCTGTTTGTGTACATCTGGCATGCGGCACTTTCACGCTAGTTACTCTTCTCATTTTTTTTTTAGGTCTTCATGAAGCCCCGCCCCTCTGCAGCATGGAGTGATGTGAACTGGGCCTCCTGTGCGATTCCTTCATGGCGTTCGCTTGCACATCAGGATGTTTGAAATCAGTTACCCTGCTTTAAAAAAAAAAAAAAAGGAAAAAAGAGAGAACCTGCATTGGTTTGTGCCTTAACTGCGGGCAGAAAACAAACCAACCTGTACAAAGTTATTTATATAAACCAAAGGAAAGCAAGAGTATATCACTGCATATTCCCAGATTTGGTTTAATGATATCTGCTCTGTCCAAAATACTGAAACTGCGTGGAGAATCTGTGTGAAGCAGTTTGCTACTTGGTAATAGCTATTAGCACACTTCTTTTCCGCTCCCCCACTTAATATGGTGCCTACAGTCTGAGTGTTGGCCCTTGTAATCACCACGAGCTCCGTGTGTTTCTGTAAGGCAGCTTTGCTGTTGACCTGAAAGCAATAACTACTAGCTTGAATAAAAGAGTGAACGTTACATGCCCTGCATGTTGTTACAGTTGGTGTTATGACACTTGTACACTAGATGGCAGGATTGTTCAATATGTTTTCCCCCCCCACCCTTTACCAGCTGTGTTCAATTGTAGCTTCCTGTTGCAATTGAAGTGGAATTTGTTAGGCTGAACTGGACTCTTTCATCTGCACATATTGGGAATGCAGATATTTTTATGGCTTATATTCAGAACTCCTTTACCAGCTTTTAAAGGAAAAGATACCATTTGTGTGTGTGTGTGTGTGTGTGTGTGTGTGTCTGAATTTTTGTTGCATTAACTAAGGGGTGAAGAATTCAGTTTGCAGAGGCATGTTTGTGTTTAACATTTACATGGCCGTAGTTTGGTCATTACAAAGTCTGCAGAGTTTGGAATTGATGAAACGGTAGGTATGCTGTTCAGAGATATGTGATGAAAGCAAAAACCAGCTATGTGAATGACAGATGGCAAATGGAGGGCTGCTGCTGAGGTTTGGAAGGAAGTAGGATTAAGGGGGAGGCTGCTTTAGCCTGAGGAGCTGCATGTGTGAGCCTAAGCGCTGCCTGTGTGAGCCTAAGCGCTGCCTGTGTGAGCCTAAGCGCTGCCTGTGTGAGCCTAAGCCCTGCCTGTGGCACTTCAGCAGAGAAATGGGCTGAAACGGGCCCCACACATGCCATCGCTGAGGAGGGCATAGGCTACGGGGCCCGGCATAGGCTACGGGGCCCGGCATAGGATACGGGGGCCCTGCATAGGATACGGGGGCCCTGCATAGGATACGGGGGCCCTGCATAGGATACGGGGGCCCTGCATAGGCTACGGGGGCCCGGCATAGGCTACGGGGGCCCGGCATAGGCTACGGGGCCCGGCATAGGCTACGGGGGCCCGGCATAGGATACGGGGGCCCGGCATAGGCTACGGGGCCCGGCATAGGCTACGGGGCCCGGCATAGGCTACGGGGACCCGGCATAGGCTACGGGGGCCCTGCATAGGATACGGGGGCCCGGCATAGGCTACGGGGCCCGGCATAGGCTACGGGGGCCGGCATAGGCTACGGGGGCCGGCATAGGGGTCTTACCCTATTTGCATGTTTTTTTTGTTATTTTATGGGGGTGAGGGGATACAGAAAATACTTCAAGCTGCTCATGTTATGGAGGATAAGGAGCCACCATCTACTTAATGTCAGAGAAGTTGACTGCGGCGACGTCCTGTGTTCTGCCCTGGCTGGGTCAAGGGGAACTGGGCCAGGAGACGCAGGTCCAGGGTCGGGAACTTAAAGAAAGCAGCTGAAATTCTAATGCTGGGGGGTGGGGTGTGTGGGTTTCTGCAGCAGATGGGGCACCCCTGCGGTCGAGAATATTCACGGGCCTTTCATCCCGCCGTTGATCAAAAGTGAATATTGCTCTCAGAGGACTTGGAGGGGGCGGGGCAGAGTTCCGTCTCCAGGCAACGGCCCACCTGGCCTGAGTGTTGGGTAAGGGTCCGTCTTCGGGCTACGGCCCACCTGGCCTGAGCGTTTGGTAAGGGTCCGTCTTCGGGCTAAGGCCCACCTGGCCCGAGCGTTGGGTCAAAGGGCGGCGTTACGTTGTTGGTACATCGTATCACATTAAACTGTAATCATTTTGAATGCACAGTTTAAGCCAGATATTTAATAACAATCTTTAATCTTCTACTTGTTATTCTGACGTTCATGCTAAGGCTGTAATAGCTGTTAGAGGGTAATGGAGCTCGCAGCTTTTTTTGAGTGTGGATATCTGAGCTGAGGTGTTGACATGGTGCTGGGGGAGGCTTTTGGGTGGGGGCTGATACCATGGCAACGGCAGCCGCCAGCGCTCTGGGTGATATTCAAACTATATAAATCCTGTCATGAGTCTGCCAGCAGAAAACATCACGCACCCAGATTTTAGCTGTTGTGCAATTGGTGATAATTAGTCACTGGCTGATCTGCATGGCAGGGTGGGGCGCGGGGGGAATGTGGCAACGCAGAGTTTATTATGGGGTGCAGCGTGTATTTATGGGAGGCACTGTGAAGTGAGTGGACCAGGATGAAGGCCTGCTGGGATACGAAGAAGCTGCTGTCAGGCAGGCCTGCCTGAAGGCCTCCCTTTCGTGGCCACGCCCTGCAGACAAACTTCCCATCAGTGGTGGGAAAAGTCAGCGCTCAGAAGCCTTGTAGTGGGTGGGGTTATTATGCCCTGTCAATCTTCAGCCATTCTGCAAACAACCAATGGGAAGCAGGCCAACCCATTTGGTGATTGATGACAGATCATAATGTAGGATTTCTCCCCATTTACTATGATTCACACCCACTGTGGAGTTACGTTCACTTTTATCATTGGGTCTGGGGTGGGGAATGGGGGTTGGGGGGCTCTCTGGAACATTCCACTGCTGGCAGCGGGAGTCGTATTTAGTGGGGCCGCTGAAATCCTGGACGTACCGTTCATCATTTCTAGCATTTAAATAGTTCTAACATGCTATTCGCTCATCCATGTGTCAACACCTTGTGGGTTTCGCCAGAGACACCTTTTTTACTTCTATGGAAGCGCGTTTAGAGAGCTTGGATGATCCGCCGATCCAAACCATGAATTTGGTTTTAACGGGCTGTCCTGAACCTGTGTGGGCTGCTTGCCACAGCCTGTAGGGGGCAGTCTTTCCCGTAAGTTTCCTGGGACTCAAACCTTCAACATCTGTGTGTGTTTTGGATGCTTTGATATAATCATAATAAAAAATTATGATCGACTGCCACAATTTCAAACCGTTTTGGCATTTGACTTTTCGGGATGCAATATTAAAAATATTACACCTCAGTTTTATGAGTATTATTAATTATTCTGTTAATGGATCTCAACCTGTCCCTTTCCTCTGCCCCGTGAGGCCTCAATATTTAGAATATATGGCCTCTTTTTATTGCAATTCGTTGGGAGAATGTACATTTTTGTAGATAAATGTCCGCGTACCATTTGTCTAACGGACACTAAAATTTGATGGCGATAAAATCAGAGCTCAGATCCGTAACCTTACATGTAGTTGGCGGAAATGATGGGGGGGGCGCTGAGGTGCTGGGTTCTAAGAGGGTCTGTCTGTAGAGGACGTGGGGTCATTCTGGTGAGGGAGATGATGTCAGCAGGTCCACGTGATCCTGAGATCTGGCAGCAGGTCCCAAAAAACAAGGCCGTAAGGTTCCTGCTTTGGCGTGTGTCCCGTGGCCCTTATTTGTTTTTATTTGTGTTAAATGTCTAATTCGGTTCAGAGAGATATTTGGGTTTATTCAAGGTGCTCCAATGGAAATAAACATGCAGCTGTCTCAGTCCCTGAGGGTCTCCAGTCTTCCCGCAGGAATTTCATGTTGGATCATATGGCCGCACCTGTGTCTACCACCCAGACTTCAACATATCCTGCAGTACCTACAGCAATGTGCCCCAAGCCTCTGACATGATCACTTTTCATTTACCCCACTGAATGCACAAATACGTTTTGCTACCCGCATTGATCCATTGGGTCTTTTGAATCGTTAACTGAGCTTAAAATTTAGGTTACGGTTTTTGCTGTCGTGCCAGAGAAACACCTGCACCTGTCGGCTTCTGCTCTACCTGTCTGTCCCTGACTTAAACACCTGCTCATGCACTATGTGCTGCACCTGTCAGCTTCTGCTCTACCTGTCTGTCCCTGACTTAGTCTGTGTGTGTTTTCTTTTGGTGTAGCGTTCATGGAGAACCTGAGATTGAATGGAGTTATTTCATATCAAGGGTCTTTATCAGGAATCCAGGTGGATTTTAATGTTCTCTCTCTCTCTCTTCCCCTCCCCCTCTCTCTCGCTCTCTCTCTCTCACGCACATACACACTCTCTCAGATTAATTACCCCTGTCTGTCTGCACTGTTCATTGTCCTTAAGGTAGGCTTGGGTGGGGGTAGGATAGGGGGTCACAAATCACTGTGAACACCCATATTAGCATTCCAGATAGGGGGTGAACAATCCGGTTAGGGCACTACGACTTGAGTGCAGCCCCTCTAGCTGTCTTTGTGGAGAAGCCTAAGGTCACCGTGCTCCCCCCGCCCCCCACGTCCACATCCCACACTGTAATTGTTCTCCAGGATGGCATTGTGGCAGAGAGGGTCCGTCAGAGCCGGTGCACCCAGCAGAAACGGCTTCAATCAGCGTATCATGCTAATGGCCGACCGCGGCTGCGTGCTGTGCAGGGGCACGGTGGATGGGCCGGTTTCTTCCGGCATGGCTCACTCTCCAGGACTTAAATCTGTGCCACAGAAATGAAAGTACAAGGAGACGTGCAATTAGCTCCCTGGCTCTGGAGCCTGAAGAGTCAGAGTGTCGGCAGAGCTCTCTCAACTGAGACACAAACGAGAGGAACCTCTACAAGCGGGAAATCTCTGCACACAAAGTGTTACTATGCTTGTGTGTGTCTGTGTGTGTGTGTGTGTGTGTGTGTGTATGTGTGGTGTCCAGGTATACATTACGTTGTGGGAACCAAATGCCAGAACCAAATGTCCCCACAATGTGATAATATCCTGTTATTTTGACGTTATGGGGACATTTTTTTTAAGTCCCCACAAAGGGAAACTTGATTTTATAAAAATCTGTGACTGCAATCAAAAAACTAAAAATGTTTTGTTTGGTTACTCATAGTTAAGGTTAGGGCTGGTTAGGGGTTAAGGCTGTTATGTTGGGATTAGAGTTTTCCCCATAGGGAAAACAAGTGTGTGTGTGCGTGTTTGTGTACGCACAAGGAAACGAACAGAACCACATCGATGCTATCTGAAATTTTTTGAGTTTGATTAGATTAGTTTCAGCTTTATGGACATTGTACTGAGTACAGGTACAGAGCCAGTCAAATACAGTCAGCATGGAACCAGCTGCAAATAAATTATGTACAAATAGATGCAATTATTAATTATGGTTGTGTGCAGAATTTTACAAACTGACATACTGTATACAACATGCAAATGAATTTACTAGAAATGCTGATTTCGAATCAAAATGTATTCCTTTGTCTAG